AGAGCGGTGACCACAGTCAGCAGGAGCAGCTCAGCCACGTGCATCCCCAGCATCATGTAGTTCACATAAGAACAGTTTGTATACGCTGTGATGCAAGGTGAATATGTGGTTGACATGGGACAAAAAACAATTAGAGTGTGTACAGTCTGATCTACACAAATCTATGACCATGTATTGGTTTATCCAAAATTCTGTTCATCTCCATGGAATAAAATCTGATAATGAGACAATATTAACCAGAACATTTGTTTTAACTTAATCTATTAGTAGAAGTGCATGAAATGAATTCCTTACATCTATTGAAGCTCTGAATACATATTTAACAAAAACAAATCAAGTGTCTCTAAACACTTACGGTAAATTAAAAAAAGCACATATCTTTTAGTGTATTTCTGTTATAGGGTGGAATATCTGCACAGCTCTGGATGACTGAGCTGCCTTCTCACCATTTTGTTTTGTTGGGTTTAACGTTGTTGATTCTTCCCACACAGCAGCCGGTGACGTCGCTGCCGGTGCAGCTTCTGTTGCTGCATCATATCCTGAACAAAGAAAACCACAAAGTACACTGTGAAAACACACCTTGTGAACATGCGGCTCCATCCTAAACCTAAAAATCCATCAAATAAACGACTGTACAGTAGTTTGTTATTTTTCCACCTTGGTATAAAGTGATTTTAATCAGTTCATCACCTTCTCACCTGAGGCCTGAGGGCTGATGGGAAACTGCTGCACTTTTCCATTGTGTCCGTTTGTCACCTCACACTTCAGTAAGTCGAACTTCTTCGAAGCTGTAAAGGTGACAGTGGCTGAACAGACAGACTCTGATGTCTTTATGTCGTCGTTGTACGTATACCTGTCTGTAACCTGGTACAGCCACCTCACAGTGCGTCTGCACCGCCCATACGTCTTCACGAAGCAGTTTAACGTCACCTCATCTATGCTCTTCTCCTCAGTCACTGGTGCAGATGGAGACATTGTCAGAGAAAGACAACAAGAGATGGATTAACTTCATCACTGTAATCATTTTGTTCTGACAACTTGACCGTTTGAGCTGAAACATCACGAGGAAAATACTCACTGGTGACAACAGACAGAAAAACCACAGAGTCTTGATGTTGTTGTCGTCGTGATGTGTCCAACTGTCTGCAGATGTAACGACCAGCATCCTCAGCTGTGACCTTCTTTATAACCAGAGAACAGCTCTCTGTGACACTCAGTCTGTCTGATTTAGATCTGGCTTCTTCACCGATCCGTCCCAGTTTAATCAGCTCTACTGCTGCTGTGAATCTCGAACCGCTGAAAAGCCAGACAGTGCTGTCACATCTATCCAGAGTGCCCAACATATTTTCACAGGACAAAGTGACTTCATCTCCAGCTCTGACAGTGACAGGAGACGGATACTGTCCACTCGCTGCTGTGAAGAACATGAGAGAAATCATATTCAATTCTTTCTTATTTCAAAACCAGTGTTACAAAGTGGGAACAAAAGTTGAACCACAACTAGAGGTAATTAAAATAAAACCATTTACTGCAAAACAACATGAAATCAAACATCCTCTGTTTGAGTAACTACTGTAACACAGGTTTCTTACCTCTCAAACGAAGCAGCATTAAAAATAATAAAATGTGGAACCATGTGGAAACAGACATTCTGCTCCCTCTCACAGCTCCTGATGAACGAGGGATTTAATGTTGCTTCGCCCTTACTCGTTTACCTACTGTCACAGAGAATGGGCTGCTTTTTGTGGCAGACTGGAGGACAGAGGAGGAGCACATAGTGTGTGATGACTGTAACGTGTCAGCGGACGGTGAGACATCGAGTTCCACAGAGGAGCTTCAGGTTATGTTGAAACAAGGAGAAAACAGCAGCAGAAACATGTTTGCTCCCCTTGTGATAAACATTTCAACATCAGACCTAAGTTTACATTTGACTCATCTAGAGGAAGTCTGCTAATACTCAGATCAATTAGATCAGTTCCTGGAGTAAAACAGTAATGAAGTATTTTTATTAAGTTAAAATCTCAAAGGTTTAGGAAAACAGCACAATGTCACACACCACTCTCCTGTGGGGGAGTCTCACTGTCTCATCCATCCATCCACCCCAAACTCCTCAAAGGTTTCACACTTCTATCATCTAGTGACTGAGCAAATACATCCCAGGCAATAAGCTCATTTCTTAAACTGTAATATATGAACCAAAAAAACCAGCAGTCTGACAAAGTGCCTGTGAAAGTTCTGGGAAATAAGCAGAAAAGAAACAGAATGAAGATTTGGCTAAAATTAGAGCAGCAGAAGAGGAAACTGTGGTTCAGGGTGGAGGTAAAGGAAATGGACAACAGGAACTTCAGATCAACATGAAAACCAGCTGCTCAAAAGACAAAGCTGCAGCCATTCTCTTGAATGAGACAACCTCTGCCTTTAAAAACACAGTCTGAGCCACTTCTGCTAGCATCACCACTACAAGACCAGGTAAACCAACAGGCGCATGCTGGTCTCCCCTTGTGGCTGTGGCATGTGGAAACTCAGAACACATGAAAAGCAGAAGAGGACTGAGGTAAGAGTGATGACTCTGCTCCTCCTCCAGTCAGTTGCACAACAGAAACAGCATGATAAAGTTTAAAATAAGCTGCTATAAACTGTCATAACTACAACCCACATCACAGATGTGCAGACAGGGAGGCAGGAAAGTGCAGTGAGACTAATGGAAAAGGTGAACACGCTGACAGTATGTGGTCCAGGCAGCTCAACAACAGGCAACAACAGCAAAAGGAACAGGCAAAATCCAAAAACAAGCTGGAAGCCCAAAACAGAATCAACTTGTAAAGGAGCAGGGGAAACTGGCCAGAGGGAGACCTGATAACTGGGACCAGCTGTGTGAGTGGGTGGAGAAGATCAGGTGGCTGGGAATGGAGGGAAAGTCTGGGGACACCTGGTGGCTGGATGGGGAACAGCAGTTTAAAGGAAAGCAGCAGGGGCCTGAGGAAGAGAGGATGTGGGTGAAACTAACGTCACCTGACCCAGTGAAGCTAACATTTAAATCCTTGAACATGTTAACAGAGTCAGCTCCGTCAGCACCACTGCACTGACAAGACACGGTACCAAGTAAACCAACAAATAAACTCACTCTCCATTATTAGCATGTGTCAACTTAGACCACATGAAAAGAGTAAAAACAGGGCTGAGCGAGCTGAAGGTGTGAACATCCTTAGTCAAGGTCAGTGTTTGCATGAATGCAACTCTAATCTTCTATTATAAAACAGGATCACAGTGATTCTGACAGCGCACGTCCACAGACAGGTCGAGTCAAACCCATCCTCCACCAGATTCTGACTCTTGGTGTTGTGGATGGATTACTGAACGGCCAACAGCGCACAGGGGCCCAAGGAGTCAGGGGAGCCTCTGGAGCTCGTCTGGAGGGGGGGGCTTAGTTTAGAGTCATAATGACACACCCTAGAAAAAACATCAGTAGTTGTGCAGGTCAGATATGTATGAGAAGCAGACATGTGAACGTGGCAGCTCGTTATGTCAGAAAGGAATCATGACTGTATATCTAAAACATTAAATGTTAAACTCTGGAGGAGATAGTGTGTAGTAAGCATGTTGTTGTCTGTGTCTAGGAGACAAAAACATAATCACGTTAATGCGACCTGTAATGAACAAAGAAGCAGTAGGTAACGGGGTAATCCAATTTTTTATTTGAATTTTAATTTAGATATGAAAGGCTTCATAAAATACACTTTATTTCCAAATTGTGACTCGGCGATTTAACTGGAATGAGATCAGTTTAAAACACTGCAATAAAATGGGCAGTTTTCGCTACAGTAATACCGTTTTCCATTTATGTGACATCACAGAGGTCAAGAAACAAGATCCAGCAGCTGCCTGCATCCACAGAAACCAATGGTGTCTTCTCACCATTTTGTTTTGTTGGGTTTAATGTTGTTGATTCTTCTCACACAGCAGCTGGTGACGTCGCTGCCGGTTTAGAGACTAATGGAAAAGGTGAACACGCTGACAGTATGTGGTCCAGGCAGCTCAACAACAGGCAACAACAGCAAAAGGAACAGGCAAAATCCAAAAACAAGCTGGAAGCCCAAAACAGAATCAACCTGTAAAGGAGCAGGGGAAACTGGCCAGAGGGAGACCTGATAACTGGGACCAGCTGTGTGAGTGGGTGGAGAAGATCAGGATGCTGGGAATGGAGGGAAAGTCTGGGGACACCTGGTGGCTGGATGGGGAACAGCAGTTTAAAGGAAAGCAGCAGGGGCCTGAGGAAGAGAGGATGTGGGTGAAACTAACGTCACCTGACCCAGTGAAGCTAACATTTAAATCCTTGAACATGTTAACAGAGTCAGCTCCGTCAGCACCACTGCACTGACAAGACACGGTACCAAGTAAACCAACAAAGTAGCTGTGCAGGTCAGATATGTATGAGAAGCAGACATGTGAACGTGGCAGCTCGTTATGTCAGAAAGGAATCATGACTGTATATCTAAAACATTAAATGTTAAACTCTGGAGGAGATAGTGTGTAGTAAGCATGTTGTTGTCTGTGTCTAGGAGACAAAAACATAATCACGTTAATGCGACCTGTAATGAACAGAGAAGCAGTAGGTAACGGGGTATCCAATTTTTTATTTGAATTTTAATTTAGATATGAAAGGCTTCATAAAATACACTTTATTTCCAAATTGTGACTCGGCGATTTAACTGGAATGAGATCAGTTTAAAACACTGCAATAAAATGGGCAGTTTTCGCTACAGTAATACCGTTTTCCATTTATGTGACATCACAGAGGTCAAGAAACAAGATCCAGCAGCTGCCTGCATCCACAGAAACAATAAAAAAAACAACCACGTGGTAAAATAACCACCATCATCTGTCAAACTGAGCACAGACTGCTGTCCTGGTAAACATGAACAGGCTTTAAAGTGTGTCAGAGAAAAAAGAAAAGCTATATGAAATGAAAAAATGACATAAAAAAATAATACAGACTGCGTCCACATGAAGCCAGGTGGTTTTAAAACAGTTCACATGTTTTAAAAAAGCCGTTTCTACACGGTTTTGTGTTGTTTTGATAAAGAGCTTGGTCCACACTGAAACACCAGAACAAGAAGCAAACAGCTTAATCTCTTCTCCTTTGTTGTCTTTTCATTTAGCAAACAACCAAACTGTCTTTACAGCAACATCTGTGCAGAATGAGTCACACTGCAGAGTCCCAGCTGTTTAACAGCCAAATTCACATTTACATACCTGCTTCTGCTGCCAGATAACGGAGTGACTAAAACAGGCTGATCTGATCGGGACCAGTCAATTCTCCCTTTTAACCGGGCAGCGGTTCGAAGGCTGCTACAATGCTCTGCTCCCCAAACCACTCTTCTATGTTTATTATTACTGATGAACTGACTGCTTCATATCATCCCATAAAATATCAAAATCATAATTTCCAAGATGTGAAAGTGCCAGACTGAAGTGTCCTGTTTTGTCTGAGCAGTAGTCCAAAACCTACGCACCCCCAGTTTACAATGAGACTAAACTGAAAACAAAAGCTGAAAATCCTCACTTTTTAAAAGCGGGAAACACCAAATCTTTGGCGTTTGTACTAGGTCAAAGGCCAAACTTTTAATCAGCGGTAACAGGGCAGGTCTGTGGAGGTACCGTTTAGCTGATGACATCTACTGACTGACACCAGTACAGGTGAGGAACAGCTGTGTGTGATCAGCTACACTGGCTTTTAAAATGAGTGATCACAGAAAATCTGAGACAACTTAAGGCAGTTTGTCTTTCACTTTAATGCCTCTGCCTTTAAAGCAGCCCTGGACCCTCACTACAACGCCAAGCCAGGGTTTCAGGATTTACCTCCTCAAACCTACTGTTTGGTAAAACCTCCTTTGTTGGGGAGAAAACACTGCTGTTTAGTGTGGACACAGAATGAAGCCGGCTTCATGTGGAAATACTGTCAGTCAGTGCAATGAAGCTGGAAAAGAACAAGCACTTGGTCTGGAGGCTGGATGCTGGCTTTGTGCAGCAGCCGGTTGTGAGACTCCCCACGTCTTCTCTTCAGGCTTCAGCAGCCTCATCAGCTTCTCAGTCCCTGATCTGACCTTAGCTTTCCTCTGGCTGGACCTGTGTTCAGGGAGGGGGAAAACCTCCTGCCAGCAGCTGTAAACTCTGAGTGTGGCTTCTCCGTTTGTCCACTGTCATTTTGAAAGGTAACCAGCCAAGATCTGGAAGTCCTCGGCATTGCTCTAAGCTGGCTGGTGAATTCATCAAAGTGGCTGGTCAAGCGCTGGGTCACAGTTACATTTCCTGCCCTTCCTGATTTTAGTTTTCAGTGCAAATCAGTAAGAAAAGTCCTTCTTACGTCCACTGTGCCTCACACTGAAGGAGCTGCCACAAAGTGCCGTAGTTGGCAGGGGGACTGAAAAACCTCAGTAACAAAACTAGAATCTCAGTTAAAACAGGGAAAAATATACACAAATATATGTTTACAATATATTATGTACATTAACACAAGCTCTTTAAAAGGTGATTCATCACAAGGCTGCTGCTTAAGAAGTGCTCACAGGAAGAGTGAAAGAAAAGTCATTGCTTTGCATCATGTGAACATGAGCCAGGGCTCCTGTTGCTGCCTCACTATGACATTCACTTCATAAAAACAAGCGTTCACTCTGAAATACAATCACAACATTTTCTTTTCTCTGCTGACAAAAAGGCAGGAAGTCTTTGATAAACTCCTCTCACAGCTCGTCAGTCAGGTCTCCAGCAACAACACAACATCTCCAAACTGTTCACACATGCAGGCAGCGTGTTGGTCTATGGGTCACGGTACTACACTAGCTAAAAACTCCCTACATTGTACTGCAGTGTGTTAATGGCCAAACTCCATTTACCTCATTATCAATTTTCCAATGGTCGGTGTTTGTTATTAATCAGATATCAGACAGGTCTGCTCCACAATGAGATGCCAGACTGCGGTCATGATGCGTGTTGAACCTTCAGCAGTGACTTTAAATGAACAGTCATTTGCTCTCGGCTTTGGTTACTCTTTGGAGGCTCCTGGTCTCCAACCCAGTGGCTGGGCGGTTTGGGTAAGACACTTGGTGAGGGTGGCTCACTGAACCTTGCTCCAGCGTAGACCTTCTCGCCATCTTTGATGTATTCGGGAGCAGTTTCAGTTGGTGGTGCATTTGGGGCCTTCATGTTGTTGGAGGTGTGCAGAGGTTTTTTCCACTCTCTGGGTGGAGGCTGCTGCAGAGAGGGGGCCTTATTTGGGCTGCTGTTATCTTTCTTCTTTGTGGCGGGACAAACACCCGGGGTTCGACCCTGCTTGTTGTGGCTCTGGGTGTTTCCACTCTGGGTGATGGGATCATGCCTGGGCAGACTGTGAGCAGTCTGGCCTCCTGGCTGAGTGGCTCCTCGCTCCAAACAGTCTCCTTTGGATGTCAGCAGCTACAGAACAAAAACAGTTATTAATTCAGTGGTAAGAGAAATAAAATCCCTTTACGGATGTCGTCATGTTGAGTGTGAAAGTAGAAACAAAACATTCTTAAACTCGCCTTAACTGATTTTTATCACCACTTGATACGATGAACTTGTTAGCAAACAGCTGCTTATTCACATGTTCGGCAGATACAAAGCAACATTCAACTCAAATATGTCAGTTTTACGATACTTTATTTATTTCTGAAATGCAGTAGAAGTTTACTGTACTTTGCCTCAACTATTTGCCTGACAGCTTTATAAATTTTGATTTTTGCATACAAAATAACCGAAGATGTTGTAAATATAACATTTATGCAGAATTCCTGGCTGCAGGAAGTATTTGACAGAGTAGTAATAACCACTTAAATGAAGGTTCTGAGCACTTCTTCCATCACTGGGACGTGTTAACACTTTTATAAGATTACAGTAGATCTCTGGTAACTGAGGTGATTTGCTGATCATATATATATTAGGTCCAAACAGTCTGATCTACCTCATTCTTGGCTCCAGGTCTGAGCTGATAGAGGGTCAGACCGGGCTCGGCTGAGAGTTGATTAGTAGATGGAGCAGTCAGAGTGTTGTTGTTGTGGTCGAAGAGGAGGATGTTGGGGCAGTTTCTCGGGGGTTTCTGGTGCAGCGGCGCCGTCGACCTCAGCTTCCTCCCTCCTTTCTTCAGCAGCGCCTGCCTCGTTTTGTTTCCCGTGTTCAGCCCATCGCTACCGGAAATCAACGTTACCGGGTTGTTGTTTTCGACGTTACCGATGTTGGTTTCATCGCTGCGAGCCGGCGATCCGTTCAGCATTTCTCAAAAGTGGCGAGAACATAAACAGGCTGTTAAATTCCTCGGCAGCTAAGTTGTTTTGCTAACAACGTCACAAGCTAACAGCTAGCTAACAGTTAGCCAACTGAGTGGACAATACTCTGTTTTCAATCCAAGTTGCCGTCACGCAGAACTAACTGCTTAACAAACACTGTGTTGTACTGTCGCCGTGGAAGTTTTCTATGAACCTGAACTGGTGTTTTTTTTTTTTTTTTTAAGTAGTTATACTACTAATAATCGACGGATGTCTTATCCCGTGATGGAGCGTCCGCGTTATTTTATCAAAGGAGAAGTAGCACAAACGTTATGGTCGCCACAATAAAACCAGCGACTTCCGGCAGCGTATTTCAAAATAAGATGACTTGTTGCCGATCCAGAAAGCACAGAGATGCTCTGCGGATTGCGGCTTCTGCCCGTCAGTGCACGAAACTTTGTGTTCACACCATGTAGCTACAGTCAGTGGTTCCCACCCGGAATATTCTGAATATGTGGTAGAAAGTAACTAGTATCAGTTTGAGGTACTAGTGCTTCAAGTACCTTATTTTCTTCTGGTGCCACTTTATAGCCCACATCTACTATATAACTCAGAAAAATGTTATTTCCTAATTAAGGTTTTTGCATAGAAAACACATGAAGCACCTACAAAATATGCCTTGTTATTATTAAACTACTCATATTTATAGTACTGAAATGAATAGTAAAAATGTCAACATTTAATTGTTTGTGCTTGTCAAATGTTAAGGTTTTTAAAGCCCCAAACCTGGCAAGAAAAATACTTTGGTCATCGGTGCCTGGTGTAAAGCGGCCCCTGTCACTCTCAGTCACTGCAGTAGGCTATGTTCAGTGGCATTGTCTTCTAGCTTCTGGTGTTAGTCTGTTCAGCTTGACATCTCCTCTTCAGGCCGTTTCCAGTAAGAGGCGGTGCAGACTTCATCCTGTCAGTGACGTTTGACCATTTTATTTGGCTGCACCTTTCAGATGTGGAACTCACCAGTGACAGACACTGAACGTCCTGCTCAGTTTGAGGGATTGTTACTAACACAATGCATAGGCTGCCTTTTATAAATTGTGTGATCCACCACAACCAGACCTCTGTACCTGTACTGAGCCTTCTTTCTGAGGAGACTGTGCCAACCACTGTCACAAGTGTTACAGTATGTTAGTGAGGGAAAAAACAAACTGGCATTCAAATGAGTTATCAGGTAAAATCAGGCAGGTAGTCAAAAGATTAATCAGCAGCAATTTTTGTAAACAATTAACAGTTTAAGTCATTAGGCATAAAAAAGACTAAAAATAACCAGTTGCAGCTTGTTCATTGTAAAATTTATTTTTGACTGTTGATCAGGTAAAACAAGCAGTAACTAACCTGGGCTCTGTTAAATGATGGGCAGTTTTGACTATTTATCATTTAATAGTCTAAATAATTGAGTGATGAAAAAAATATTGTAGCCCTAAAGGTTTTGTCCTTGTGTATGAAAGTACAGAGCAAGGCTGGTGTTTATTAGCCTCACCTAGTTATAACAATGTTGCTGTATGACCATGCACACACCCACTAACACACAGTTTTACTGTAAAAACATGAGCATTTTGACCTCAGTCACCTGCAGACCATTCAATAAACTACATCTACACCTTCATTTCAGGAAACACTAACACTACTTTGATGGGCTGGTATGTTTCCCCTCATACAGTACGTCTTGTAAGTGCACAATAGTCTGAAAAACTATTAATACTGAGTGAAAAACACGGCACTCTAATTCACTACAAAATAGGCTAATAATAATTATTTGGCAAAGAACTAAGAAACCAAAATGCTAATCTGAAACTCACAGGAGGATGTGGTAAAGGTTTGTTTCAGTACAAAAAATAGGTATATAAACAAAATACAAGTACAACATAAACAACTAATTATCCACCCCTGTGAGCGCAGTACAGATCATTTGTCACCGTGACTGTAGAAGGCAAATGATCGAGACGTTGAGGCTTCTGGACGCGAAGCTCTGTCTGGGTGTCGGCGGCAGCGTCAGGGCTCAGGGCTGTGCTTCGGCTTCAGGATCGTCATAGATGTAGCTGCCCACGCCCCCAGTGTTTACACCTGACAGAAAGCAGGACACACAAGTTCACCCAAAAACTAAATTAGCCATACAGATAGTTCTGGCTGATTAGAGTAAAAACACTGAGCAGCAACTTGGCTTTTGAGAATTTTTCAACACCAACAGTCCAGAACCTCTTGAAAGTTGGTTTTACGGATTATGCAGCAGCCTACAGTATGACCCAGTCTATTGTGATATTCATTTGTATCTTTTTAATGTTTGGAAAAACCAAAACATTATATTCAGCTGTGTAGTAATGCAGTGGAGGCAGAAATCCAAAACCTGGACACATAACTAAACTACCTGCACAGCCAGAGTGAAGTGATAAAGGTTTTGTGAGTAATTTGTGCGGACTGAGCCTTTAAAGTAATGCAGAACAAGCAGCAATCCTGATAATTACATCAACAAAAACTGTAACACAAAAACATCAGGAGGATTATGAAGTGTAAAAGCCAGATGTGAGCTCATTCCTGGGGGGTCTTTACAAAGAGCTTATGTTATTCAGATGTCCAAATAAAGTTTCAGTGTCGAGCTAAAGTCCAAAAACACTACAGCTGGAAGACAGATGCAGGTTTATGGAGTGCAAACTGGCAAGAATATTAGATATACACACTTTTGCAACCTTTACAGGATACATGCCCTTGTCTTTAAACGGTCACTGAGGCTCACCAGCTGTCCCAGGTGACTTTAAACAGGTATTTCTGATAGTGTTTCATCAGTCGCGTCTGTTAGAGCAAAATGTAACTCATGTAACTCTTGCCTTTTTCCTGACCTTCAGTCTGACACTTCTAGGCCATGAAAACTGTGGTTACCAAGGTCTGACTGTGCTGGTAAGACGCCTCTGCTCCCGGTAAACATTTGTAGACCTAAAACAACCTCCAGCAGACCGATGACTGCGGACATGTGAATGTTAACTGACCTCTGACCTGCAGTTCTGCACCCTGCACTGCACTGGAAGTGTTTGTGATGTCATACCTTTGGGTCCAAACAGCACAGCGTAGCATGGTTTGTGGCAGTACGGCTCTCCGTCGTGCTGCAGCAGAGAGACGAGAACTCCACTTATTCCTCCATATGTGGACTTGTGTTGTCATTAACTGATGTTTTGTCACAACAAAATGTTTGGCAACACAAGATGTTTATTATTAAAGTATGTCAGTCAAAATCAGAAGAACTGCATGAACAGTTGTTTTCTACTCTACTCTGAATATTTAAATAGAAAAACTTTAAAATGGCTGATCAACAATCCACCATCAAAATACCCCAAACCAGGATGAACCGCTTCCCTAAAATTCAGGGTCAAACGAAGCACGATTTTATACACAAAACAGCCTCTTGTCCCGTCATGGTCATTGTTACTTAAAAAAAAACAAAAACAAAAAAAAAGCAATAAACAAAGCAGCAGCTTGAACCACAGTTTTATGAGGACGACCTACAGTAAATCAGATTCACTTGTACAACAAGACGTGATTCTGACACTTTGTATAGCATCTAATTCAGTTAAGAAAATAATCTACATCAAGACCTTTCTGCCAGCTTTACTGTGCATGACATTCAGTGTAAACTGATGCATCATTCAGTGGGTACCTGGCCAGGGTGTACCCTGTCTGTCACCCAAAGTCAGCTGGGCTTGGCTTCAGTAAGCGGTATAGATATCGGATGGATTCAGTGGGTGTTCATGACAGACCACTTATTAGATGAGGGTGTTGTCTTAATGTGACCCCAGGCTGAGCTCATGTGATACCACCTGGACGTCTACAAGGAAATGATCTTTTTAACCTTTTTTATTTGCTCTTTGATGCCTTCTGAGAATCAAGTAAATGGACATTTCTCCATCTAAAGAGGCTGTAAAGAGCTGCCGTCAGTCTGTGGTCCATTTTTGTATCCCATTACTAAAGTCTCCAGAAATACCACGACTTTCATCTTCCTGAGTGCAGCGCTCACCTCTGCGTGGCTGCCGGGAGCCAGAGTCTTACCGCACCTCTCACAGCGCAGACAGGGCCGGTGCCAGTTCTTCCCGAGGGACGACACCTTCTCAGCTGCACACACACACGTAGAGATAGTCACTATGGCAACCAGCCACTTTGTCACTCGTAACATTCCAACACTCGTATAGAAAGACAGCAATCTACTGACCGAAATACACCGTCTTGTTGCATCTGGGGCAGATGTTTGGTCCTCCAGAGAAAGATGAGAAGCTCGCAGCTGAAACAGTTACGTTGATCTTAGATTTATAATCTGCTGAGAGTTTTCTCCAAGAACACACAGATCTTCACATGATCACTGTGACTGAAACATCTTTATCTCCAATACACCCATACATTTTTCTTTTTCTCAGTTTCTGCTGACAGTTAATTTCTTCCTCTGTGACTTCCTACTTTCCTTATCTTGATGTTCCCACCCCCAGCATGCCTTCAGTGTGTTACAGTGGTCATTACTGCAACCACAGTGACTAAACTGAACCCGCTGCCATCCAGAGAGAACATTTTAGCAGACATCGAATTTCTCTTCCTAACATATGACAGTTCTATTTTTGCTCCACACAGTTCTCACCCTTCACTGGTCCCCGTGCTTTTCTCTCCTCTTCTGGTTTGGCATCTGTTTCCATGGAAACGGCCGCAGGAGCTTCGTTGACAGGAGTGTCGTACACGTAGGAACCAGCTCCGCCGATGTTCACGCCTAAAACACATGCAAATGTTGGATTTACAATTCTGAAGCTGACCTTAAAAAAGTTCTTTCAAATGTTTTTGTAAGTGCACAAAGAAGAAATGGCACCTTTCGGTCCAAAGAGGGCGGCGTAGCAGGGCTTGTGGCAGTAAGGCTTCCCATCATGCTGCAAAAACACCAGGGAGGGAGAGTCAGCTGCAGCAGAGACAACCATTCCTCACAAGCCTCTGAGTGAAGCTACTCCTCTGAACCAGAGTGGAAAGATTTAGATTTTTCTTTGTCTGTTTGGATTCACATACAGTAATGCTGAATAACAAATCAACCAGGACTTATTCACAGGAGTTATAGGCCTCGTCTGCTCCATGTTATTGTCTCCTCACACTAATTTATAAACATGACAAAAGCTAAATATGAGCATCAGTGCATAATGGGGTCTGTTTGCCTTCAAGTCATTTTATTAACCTCTGTGAAGCCTGACCTTTAGAAAAAGACCCCCCCTCAACTATCTACTGTGCACAACCGACGACTCTTTCTCAGGAAAACGTCCTTGACTTTCTAAAT